CTTCCCTTCTGGAATAAGATTGCAGGAGTCAAAGCCAATAGTATGAGGAAATAATGATACTAATAATTGTATTTTATTTCAGGCCCAAAAGGTTTGCCAGGAAGATCTGGTTTGAAAGGACGTGATGGCTTACCTGGAACCCCTGGCATAGCTGGGGATCCAGGACTTTCAGGTGCCCCAGGACCACAGGGATTTGAGGGTAATTTTATGATTTGGGGAGCACAGATAAAAAAGAAGCAAACAGTAGAATTGTGTTTGCTTACAGCCAATTAGCTTAGGAAAACCAGGAGATTTCTGTGGTATCGTGTTTTGTATCTGCAATAAAGGCAATGTAATCTTCAGTGAGGAAAGTTCTGTCACATGTCCTTGTTGATGTCATAGTGCTTTCTGTAGGTGCATTTCTAAACCTTTTGGTTTTAATGTTTATTGGATGTGGGAATGATCTTGAAGATCTAGAGGAGTGATAAAGTATTCACAGTAACTGTAGCTCTGAGGCTTGGACAGGGGAGGAAAGGTGTAGTGAGAAAGAAGAGAAATACCATCAAGAAAAGTGCTATAGCAAAAATGAATGAATTAGGATTTGGTTGGTGCTTTGAGGTCCTCAGAACTACTGTACTGTGGGATGTACCTAACACACTGGCACCAGAGTTGTTGGGCAAAGAAAGAGAACTAAAAGAGGAAGAGAATGGGTGGGTGGTGCTGTGCAATGGCTGCATTTGGAGCTGTTAAGTCCAGTAATTCATATAACAACCATATAGCTTGTGCTCCTCGTTGTACAGAGTGCCATAAGCAATGCCAGGTGAGGTACAGAGGCAGCTGCTGTCCCCGCTGTGCCCTGGCAGTGGTGGTTGTTCTGTGTCTCCCAGGTGCTGCTGGGAAGCTGGGTCCCCCTGGCCTGCCGGGCATGCCGGGCCGCAGCGTGGGCGTTGGCTACACCCTGGTGAAGCACAGCCAGTCAGAGCAGATCCCCCCCTGTCCCATTGGCATGAATAAGCTCTGGGATGGATACAGCTTGTTGTATGTGGAGGGGCAGGAGAAGGCCCACAACCAGGATCTCGGTGAGTTGACAGAATTCTCTTAAGAATGAACAACACAAAATTACATTAAAAAGCAATCCTCCATGGCAGTGCAGAGGGCTGTGGTGGGGCTGGTGGCAGGTGGCTTGGCCAGATCTGCACTGGGAGCGGTGTCACTCGTGCCATCCTCACCACTTAATGCTGGTGTGTATGACCTGGAGTCTTTGGCAGATGCTTGGTGTGACTGCTGCTCTGCTTCTTCCAGGTTTTGCTGGCTCATGTTTGCCTCGCTTCAGCACCATGCCTTTCATTTACTGCAACATCAACGAAGTGTGCTACTACGCCAGCCGAAACGACAAATCCTACTGGCTCTCCACCACTGCCCCCATCCCCATGATGCCCGTGGACAGCGTCCAGATCCCACAGTACATCAGCAGGTGCTCTGTGTGTGAGGCACCTTCCCAGGCTGTGGCTGTGCACAGCCAGGACATCACCATCCCACAGTGTCCCCTGGGCTGGCGCAGCCTGTGGATAGGATACTCCTTCCTTATGGTAAGGACACTACTGCTGGTGCAAAGGCAGCTTTAAACATTTCCATCTCTCCTCTCTAATGAAGTCACTGAGACTGTGTTCTGTGAGTTACAGGAACCTGGAACCCTGTCTCTTCTTGCCTCAGTGCATTTCTTCACCAGCTGAGTTGCTGTAGCTCTGAGTTTGCTCTGTGTAGCACCTGCCCTGATCAGTTTTGCTGGTAACACTGCTGCCTAAGTTCTGTATCACCACAGATGTTTGTTCTTCAAACCTTTAAATGTGGAAACAGTAATTCAGCTACAGTATTGACTTAATCCTCTTTCTCAGTGGAAAAAATTTTCCAGTGCACTCTCCTAGAAGCTTATTAGTGTAAGATTGTTAGAAAAACATGACGTCAGCATCGTTGTTTACAAATTTTCCCAACTTTCAAGTGAAAAGCTGGTTTTCCATTATTCCAGGCCTGCATATTCAGCCTAAGAATGTTTGCTCTTTGCCTTCTAGCCCTGACTCGAGACTGATACACATAGCCAGGGTGTAATTTTGGTTGCCTGTTTACCTCCTTTGAGCTCACTGAATTGCCATCTTTATTTCAGCACACTGCAGCGGGGGCAGAAGGTGGAGGCCAGTCCCTGGTCTCACCTGGCTCCTGCCTGGAGGATTTCCGAGCCACTCCTTTCATCGAGTGCAACGGTGCTCGGGGCACGTGCCACTACTTTGCCAACAAGTACAGCTTCTGGCTGACCACAGTGGAGCAGGAGCAGCAGTTTGTCAGTGCTCCCCCCTCAGAGACGCTCAAGGCGGGGCAGCTTCGGACTCGCGTCAGCCGCTGCCAGGTGTGCATGAAGAACTTGTAGTAACAGAGGTGCAGTTATGGGAACAGGCTTTGTTAACCCACGTTAGACATCACTGACTGGAGAAGGGTAAATTCACAAACCTCTTTTGTGTGTGTTTGATGGGTGAATCGAGACAGCCAGAACTCTACAGAAATCAAGTTTCAAGTCCAGGAATTTGTGCGCAGAGGAGGGAAAGACCAGTGTTCTGAAGCCATTTTTTTTAATGAAACATGGTGCTATGTTTTTTACTTCAATGTTTTTTTCCCCTCCTTTATGGCTACCTCAGAAAGTCTCAGTGAGTTCCTTACTCAGACTGAAGAGCAGCTGACACCTCGTACCACTCCTCTGTCCAAGGCACATCCAGTCATCACCCAGAGAGACTTTGCCAAAGCCAGGCTCAATTAGTGCCTTTGCAAACAGTATTTGGTCTAGTGTAAGCAAGTGGAGACTCATTCTCCTGTGAAACACAGAACCAGCTAAAATGTATCAGGATATGCTGGGTGACTTGGAAACATTATGCACTAATGGTTAATAATGGATTTTCTTAGAAAAATTGAAAAATGAATTATTTGCTTTGCTTATTACACAGATGGAACATTCTTCCTCCAGTGACAGGTAACCAGTTCTAATCCAGCCTGCTATCCACAGCCTACCTTAATGCAATTTTTCATGTGAAGATAAATCCAAAACACCTCTACCATTTTCCGTTGCTTTCTATTGAAATATATTCCAGGTCTGTTGGCTTCAAGGTCTGTGCTTATCTCCTTGCAGCCACTGATATACAGCCATACTTTATCAGCCAACATTTTATTACTCTGAACATAAATTTCCTTTCTGAGGCAGCTTTGGCACACTTATTTTCAAGCTTATTATTCAAGCTGTGTGTGTTTGAAATGTAGAGCCTTCACTAGATGGCATGCAAGCTTATGCAGCTACAGGAGTAAGCAGCAATGGGATGTACATTTTTTACTCCTGCAGTCACCATGTGTTGTATACTCCTTCCTCTGGGCTTTATTGCTGTAAGTTTAAGAAAATTGTATCTCTACTGTATGCACTGTTAACTTTCCTTCAGGGCGTAATTAAAGAGAAGTGCCACTAATTGGATTTTCCTTGTATATTTTAGGGGAAAGCCATGACAAAGGTATGGTTATAGCTATAATGAATTCATTCAGTAGGACTAAAGTTATTACCTTTAACCTCTCTGGAGTGAAGGGTGTGAAATCCTTGTCTATTGACATTCCAGGACATTTCAAAGGAGTGCCTTGCAAATACACTCTCACCTTGGCTTAAAAATCTTGAGGATAAAACTATTCAGAAAATTATTATTAATGCACAACTGAGACATTATTTTAAGCAAATAATAATCAGTGAAGATGAAAGTATTACTTGCATAACACATTATTATCCTCACAGATGGAGGTCAGAGCTCTCCAAGTCCAGGAGTTAAACCACACTAGAGATGAACAGGGAAGTTGAGGAACAATGTAGTCTTTCATCTCACTTATTCCTAATTGTGAAAGATCAGCAACTGCTTTGGATGTACTTTGCAAGTATCTTTAAGGCATTTTAACACTCCTGAGCAGCAGTCCTTTCCTGCAGGATATTCAATCTAGTTCCTAGCTGGCCTGGCACAGAGAGAGCCTGTGGGATTTACATCCTGGATTATGCCCATACATCTTTAAATCACTTGTGTGCACAGAGCAAAGCTCAAGACTTCTGAAAAATCACACAGATAACTGACAAAGTACAAGGAAATTTTCATCCACTGGCTTCCCATGGTGCTACAGAGTCTGGTTGGTCAGGTCTTTTATCTGCAGGGACTTGGCTTTGTTTTTCAACATGACACATGCTAACACAATTAATTTATTCCCCAGGACCAGAGCTTTATGCATTTTAAGCAGTACTGCCTTTAGAGAGCTGCTTCTCTCAAAGTCACCAGCTCCACTGCTGTCCCTGTCCAAGCTTCCATCCATTTCCACCAGCCCCTCCCTGGCAGGTGCAGGGAGCAGGAATTCCAATCACCATCAGCCCCATTTTCATCCAGCTGTTTACCCCCACCCAGAATCCTTCAAGAGCTCTGCAAGGTTCAGGCTCCTCTCTGAAGGGGCTAAGGGTGGCTTGGGGAATGAGCACCTGGTACTCCATCAAGGATCTTTTAATTTATTTTTTAGCAGGTACTGCTCAAGACTGAGCATTTCAGAACAAGGGCTCATTTTAATTTCTTGTCTCTGAGGAGGAGAGGGCTGCAACTGATGTCATAAGCATAGTAACTTCATGTATTAATGAAAAATAAATACTTTGTTTAAAAAAAAAACAAACCACAAAACCTGTGCAGCTACTCCATGGAGAGGGGAAGAAAATGATCTTTTTCCTATATGTATTTCCAAACCACAGCTAATAAACATTGAAGGCAAACAAGATGACTGTGCCCATGTCATGACTATTTTCTTGGAAATCACACTGGCCCTGATGCAGAAGTGCAAGTGAGAGGAGACAGCATTCAGGATTTCTCTACATGGTCATTTATTACTGAAGATCAAAGTGTGTGACTCAGGTCCATTACACTATGGTGACAAGGTGATCAGAATGGGGACTGTGATAGTAAAAAGGAACTGTAGAATGAATTAAAAGATCTTTGCCTTTATTCTGAGCTGGTTTTCTTAGAGCTGCTACAGAGATACTCTTTCTAAAAAGAAACAAAACTGCACCGGCTCTGCTGATAAAACTGGAGAATTAAGGCACTTTTACCAAAACAGATTTCAAAAGGCAACAAGTCAAAACCCAACAATTAAGTAATTTGCATATGCCTATATATTAAGTTTTAAGATAACCTGGGTTATATTTAGTTCACACAAACAAATTAACAAAATATAGCAGCATACAACCTATGAAAAGCTTAAGAAATTTATTAGATGCACAGATAAAGTGCAGTGACAGAGATACTTGTGTAAATCTTTTTTAAAATAAATAAGGTACAGTTAAACCACCTTTGACTCGCTTTAGCTCCAGAAGAAAAGTCAGCCTAAGTTTTAATGATTGAACTTTAAGGTCAAGGTGAAATATATCATAACAGTGGTTGTGATCTGTATCAACTCTTTGAGGCTCCTGTTCCTCTTGAGGTCTCCCAGAAACAGGAAGGCTATTGCAAAATGGATACGTTAGACATAGTTCCTTTCACAGAAACATTTTTGTCATAAAGTGTGGTTGCTCAAATACATGTTAAAATATTTAACAAGGAAACAATTTTCTCCTGATCCAGTTGATCTTTTAAACAAGACAATGCATTTTTTTCTACTATGCAGCCCACAGGAAGGAACAGAAGTAGACATCCTCCTTAACTGAAGACTCTTGCTTTAAGAACTAAACTATTGCATTATATGAGAGCAAGAAATACCCATTTTGTGTTATCCCTTTCTCCAAACATACAGCCCCACTGACAGACTTATTTTTGCCTTAATCTCAGAGGTCCATTTGTCTTCAAGAAAGACACACATTAAAAAGAGGTTCCCTTTCAGGGTCTTATAATAAAATCTTTCAGTGCCTTTCCATCTGGGGAAGCTCTTTGACAGAAGGAACTGTCCCTGTAGGAGTTTGGATGATACCAGAAGTTTGTGCTCTGCTATCCATGATTTCAGGCACTTGTGGGCTAACATGGCTGTGTAATTTATGTCAATGCAATAATATTAGCAATATGTTCAACACTCAGAAGGGTCACCACAGTTTCCTTCATACACTCAGGATTTCAAATTCTTCTTCCAATTCAAATAGCTTGTCAGTAGATTCAATGAGTTCTGAAAAATAAATTAAACCATTTAGAATGTGAAGACATGCCTGATTTTGTTTACTAAAAACACCCTCAAACCTCCCCCCATCCTTCTGAAATGCTGCCTTTGAAATATTTTCAAAGATTTAAAAATATCTTGTGCTAACACATGTAAATTGGACAGGGGCTGTTTGGATAACTGATACTCTGTAAGAGCAAGGCATTTAATCATGCACTGATTGCTTGATCCTCAGGAGAGCCCAGTGGTTCTGCTGGCTGAGGAGCCCCACTCTGCTTTCAGTGTACCACACCTGCCCCTGTGGTTGTCACTTCTGGCTTGGTTGGAGGTATGAAAGGAGGCCAGTGGGGTGGGTGCTTCTGGACCAGCTCAAACATCCGCAGGCTCTGCTGCTTTAGAATCTCCTGAGGACAGAATACAAACCAAAAACCATTTTTAACACTGTGTATCTGCCAAAGAACAAAGGCTGTAAATTCCTGTTAGGTCAGGTACCTGCCATCATGAATCACAGCTTCACACATCTCTAGTATTGTCCTACTTGAAAACACACCTGGAAGAGGGATCTCTTAAACTCCTACAAGTTACCAGTGCATTATAACAAGCTTTTATACATCTGTAATTTTCTTTACATGGAGCAAACACATACCAGGAACATACTTCTGCCTTTTAAAAGTAAATTACCTGCTTGAACCTTTCTGTGTTCAAGTTTTCTGTTGATCAATGGGAACAAAAGACAGATCTATCTACTTAAAAAAATCCAAGAGATTTTGGAAGATAGGTTTTGATCGGGAGAAACAAGTTATTATTGAAGCAAAATTTCACTGCTATCAGGTGAGCTCCATCATATCCTCTACTTCAGTTATTTGCAAACTGCTTTCTGTAGCCTTTTTTAAAGAAATGCTTTTGGTTGGTGGTACTTTATATTCACATCCCTGTTGCTTAATATTCCAGCTGCTTGCTGTGTTTCTCAGTAAATGACTTAGGTATAAGCCACTAACACAGTACTGCTAACAGAAGACACACTCAGAAGGGGTGGATGCACTTCTTCTCCCAGTGCCAGGGCTCAGGGTTGCAAAATGCTGAACAAGCTCCATCAGCAGTGTCAGCTCTCCCTGATCATTAGTGCCACCTTCACTGGGGATCATTTGATTTGAAGGCTGGAAATTTCCATTAACCAAAAAAAGAACAGTATCCATGATTTCATACAGAGCAAAAAAAGATAGTAGTATTACCTTTTGTACAAGACTACACCAGTTATCAAAATCACATTCTTCTTTGCAAAAGAAGCCCTAAGGAAAGAATACACAGTAATATTAAATACAATATGTCAATGAGCAAAGATGCTGTGGTATCTATGTATGGGTTATATCACCCATAACCCAACCAAAGGACACTGGCACGAGATCAGACTGGATTTCTTCAACTACCACAGTATTCTTGTGGTCTATACTGGATTATTCTACAAGTAATTTCACTTGAAGATTTGTAGATTAAATAAAACAAGCTCAGGTTAAGTATCTTCTCGAGAACAACCAATGCACAGATGATAGTGATGGAATAAAATAATGAAACCTGATCCAGTTCCTTGCTTTGACTTTCAAACTACTTCTTGGAAAAGGTCTATGTTGCCCAGGAAAGAAACTTAATTGGCTCCCCAAGATACAAACAGTTGGTTCCCTGCTTGAGCTAAAATTAATGTATCCTATGCAGTTCAACTACTATGTGTTGAATTTTAGATTGCAGAAGAGTGCCCTGAGATCTTGATGTGATCAAGGAAACATGTTGCTGTCCTTACCAATACACAGAGGTATTGCTCTGAACAAAGTACACACATTTATTATTTTCTAACACCTACTAAAGCTACTGAAGGGTCCAAATTCATGATCTTCATTCTGTGTGGGGCTTGCTGGCAGTGGAAGCTCTTGTCATCAACTGTGCCATTTTCTTCTGAATCTACAAAACTCTGAGTGGTGTGAGGGTCCAAGTAGATCAGCTCATTGCCTGGAGGAGTAAAATTCACATGGTGATAACAAGCAGGAAGCAGTAATGAACACTTTATCCATCCAGACTTGTAAAACATAAATTGGATTGTCAGCACAGTCTGTATCTCAACTCTCTAGCTAGGGAGTCTTAAAGAGAACTGTACAACAGAAAGGCACAACAGTATCCCACGGGGATTTAGTATAATTTTCCACTGTTACTTTTTAGGGTAGATTTTTTGAATTGTTTTTTTTCCTACCTTTGTCACATACTTTCCTTTATATACATGAAGTCCAGTACATTTTCTAAAAATCTCAACTGCAGTAATCCCTAACATTCCTCAGATCAAAGATACAGGATGACCACAAATCCAATCTGTAATCCCATTAGGCATTCACCCAGAAATTGAACAAATAAGTCTGACTAAAACAGCTCAGGTTTTACAAAAGAAAGAACAAAATATCCAAGGAGTTATGGATCAAACCAGGGTAAAATATCAAAGCTGAATCCAGGATCAAGTATTGCATTAATTACTAAAGACATGGAAGAAGTCTTTATGAAAGACATACTGCTTTGAGAAAAAATTGAAAAATATGAGCTAATAATTTAAGAAAGCCAGGAAGGAAAAGAATAAAACAAGACACTCTTCACTGGAAAGTATTAATGATTAGAAAAAATACAGTATTTAGGCAGCAGTGGCACCTGACATTTGTTGAATGCTACCAACTTAGTGTCTTGTTCTTGCTTATATCATTCCATATTTTAATATCAAGCTTTGCTGCTTCTTTTCTGTTCCTATCAGGATGGTCTCATACTGTTCCTGAAGTGTCTGAGGTATGGTTCTTCTTCTCCATGCTCACGTTTAAAATGCTTACTACTGCCCCTTCCCAAAGAAAATCCTTTCTCTTTCAGTCATATGGATATTTGGAGTAAGTTTCTTTCTTCCTTACCTAAAAATCCTATAAAATAATAGGCATTATTGGGTTTCCCTCCTAATGCTCCCAAAGACTGTGGCATCTTAAAGCATTCCTAGGAGTCCAAAGAGAGAAAAATTAAATTGATTTGTTTACTGATGTACCAGATACCTGAACTTTTTCACATACACAAACAAGTGACTGAAGAATGCCTTACTTTAAATGCATCAATATACACGGGATTGATGTGATTAATCCCTAGCCGGAGAGGGATAATGAGCAGGAGGGGTCTCCAGCCTGGGCACAATCCTGCTGTGTTCTTGTTTGGGCCAAGAGCACTTCTGTGCAAATGTGCACTGCTGTGGGCAACACTGCTGCTCTGGGCAGGGGACCAGCACATCTTCTCTGGGGGAATGAAAAGAGACATCAGTGAATGCACACAGCAACACAGAGCACATCTTGCAATCATGAATTAAATTGCTTTTCCAGACAGCTTTATAGAGCTCCTGTTTTAAGACAAAAGGAGCAAGGCATGGAAATCCTGACTCTTTAGTAGAAGTAATTTTGGCAGTCAGAGTATGTGCTGGCACATTAGTGAGACACAGGAAAATGAGGGGATGAATGTTTAGGACTGAAGCTACATTTACTACTCGCAGTATTAAAGCTGTCAAGCTTTGCCTGGGAGATGATATAGCAGGGAGGAAGCATCAGAAACTCTTCAGGGAACTCTTCTCTTCCAGTGATGTAGACATAAAATAAGCAGAAGTAGGGACTAAAGTAGACCCAGGCTGTGGCTGAATAACACTTGTAAACCCACCTTTCTTACAGTTTTAAGTTGAAAATGGGCCACACATTTCTGAAGGATCTGCCCCTCATTTCCCTTTTGCTTGACAAAAGCAAATTTCTGGCAAACTCTGTATTACAAACAATTCCCTGTATTTTTACATACTTCAACTTCATTCCATTGCTGGAGTAGGAGTTAAGGTAGCACAGACCAAACTCCACTTTCTCATCCACATGGTATGTGGAGTTGGTCACCAAAAATCCCTCCCTGCTAACTTTACTTTTGGAAACCCCAAACCTGAGTATCCATTTCCTTCATTCCTTTTCTTACCCTGGGAACACATAGGGATGGTGCCAAGATTTTGTCCATACTTAGATACATTCAGGAGAGTGAATTCAAATCAAAAACTGTCACCAAGGAAATAATCACAGAATCATCAAATTATTTAGGCCAGAAAAGACCTTTAACATCATCAAATCCAACCACTACCCTAATGCTCCCAGAAGTAGTTTGTCCAAACATTTAAATTTGCCATGAGCTTGAGCTACTCTTTGGTATCTGCTGAGACACTACAGCAGTGCTGCAGAAGCTCCTGTTTCACTTACTGATGTCCTCGATGACCACTGTATTGTCCATAGACACATAAACTGCTAATGAATTCCATTCATCAAATAAAGCAAGCTTCCTAGAAAACACAGAGGCAATAATTAATAAAAGCTTACTAGGACCATAAGGATAGCTTTTAACTCAGGACAGTTAAATAGTTCTTGAGTACAAAAGTCACTTATTTGGAAGAAAAATTTGTTGGTTTTTTAAGTCTCCATGTAATAAAAAGATAACTTTCAGTGTTTAACATACTTAGAAAAAAAAATAATGAGTGGTTCCAGGAAAAGCACACACATTATACCATGTGAAAGCTGTTTTGTCCTTTTGCCAAATGCAGGGAGAGTAACAGCTCAACCACATGACTAGGTTTATTACTTTGTATTGCAATTAACAGATTCCACTGTAGAATTCTGCCCATGGTGCCCAACATCATGTAGAGAAGAAAAAAAATTCCTATGCCAGTTTTTCCACATTACTCTGTGCTTAAGAAGTTCCACTAAACTTAGTGGAACTATTTTCAGGTTGTTAAAAGCCAGAGCAGCTCAAGATTTTGGAACCCAAAAGTTAGGAGGGTGGCATAACAGCACACAGGTTTCTGTCCACTTTGTGTGACATCCAGAACTCTGGGGAAGGGAGCTCTCAGACTGCACAGGCAGTGCTGGTTGTCTAAAATAAGCCTGAAAAACTGGTATGTGAGTCAAGAAGAATTTGTAAGGGAAAGGAGCTGGAGGCCAGGACATCCTTCAGCTCCTTTCTCTCTCCAGAACGTGTCTGTCCCAGGGCTGCAGCAAATGGCACCCAGGAGCTGCAGGATGGGACATTCCCTATCTGGGACATTCCCCATCCCTCAGCAATCAGCTCTAGTGAGGCCTCCAGGCCAGGAGGAGCTCCCAGGTTCTCCCCAGCAGCCTTGGGCAGCCCAGGAGCCCACCCAGGGAGGCCCTGCCATGACTTACTTCAGTACTTGAGCAACTGTATTTGGTCCAAACCACTCTCCAATGGACTTCCCCTCTCCAACACCCATCTGTGCTGTTGTTGAAAAGGAAAACACACACAGGAAAAACCACAGAGAGGCTGGTCACAGTCTGTGTCACACAGCATGGCCTACTAATACCTTGACAAACACTCTAGAGCAAGTGCAAGCTGTATTTAGCAACAATTATTTTCTCAATCTATACTCTTTTCAACACTTAATGACTGCTAGTTCCCTTGGAAGAAGTTCCTAAACTGTAATGACAACTACAAATACGTCCTTACTTACAAATTACAGCAATAACTTCTATGACTGTCTACTTTAACACTATCAACTCTGCTACCCAAAACCTGCACACTGTATTCTAGAATACAGATTCATTTAGGTCTTAGTGAATAATATTTCTGAATTATTATCCTTCATACCCACTTGCATACATTTTTATTTATATATAAAAATATACATTGTATTCATAATCACCTTTTAAAAATGTTTCAACACCGTAGGAACTTCAGTAGACAAAAGGAAGTTGATGTGTGTTCTTACCCATTTGGTGGATGGAATAACAGCAATCTTTTCTATCCAGAAAGCACCGTAAGATTCTATGATATTCTTCTGGTTGCTTTTTGTGTTTTTCCCATTGCCAATCTTTTAGGAAAAAAGTTATACAGCTTAAAAAATAATGTTTTCATTGTACTGATCAAATTTCTAGATGGCAGAAAGCCATACAATGAGATTTTAAGAGATGATCCATCTCTAATATTTATATTTTCTTTAGAGATCCTAGAAGTCACACCTTGTCATTTATTATCAAGCTGCCCTTTATCATCACATGCTATTGTGTAAAAATTGAGAAACTAAAATAACAATGCCAACTGCAAGTATATCCTGAGTGATCACTGCTGAGAATTGACAGCTATTCCTCTATGTGAGCTTCCAAGACTATTTAAAACTATCTGTTCTGTTTGGACTTTATCAGATTTGCAAACATTTGTAGGATAATAAGACTCATAAAGCAAAATCCAAACACAATGCTGGCCCTCTCCCAGAGCAAAATGCAAACCATGGCTTTGCCACATGAGCTTCTGCTTCTGACATAAGGTAGTTACCTCACATTTAACACAGGGCTGATCCTATTTAGATCCATACTGCAAGTTCAAGATCTAGTTTTTCTCAGGTAACATGTTTGTTTGCCTACTCTTTCAGTTAAATCTTTGCACTACCATTTTGTGTATTCAGTAATTAAATTGGTAAATCCACAAATCGTGCTGCCATAGAAACTTGTGACAAAAGAGCATAAGGATCACAGAGCCAGCCACAGCAAGGTAAGTGACAGGAGAGTGACACAAGAGCAGACCTAGACACTCACCCATGACCCTGGGACATGGGGTGTCAGTACAGAATAACAGGCACTAGTGGGGTCTGCTGTGGGGTCTGGACTCAGGCTGATGATGGGTGAGTGGTTTGTGAAGTACTCTGTGTGGTGTCTATCACTCTGTCACTGCTGACACCATCACCCTGGTGCCATTTTGGTGGCTATGCAATGAAAAGAGGGGAAGAACTCAGACCCATGGTAGCAAGTTCTCCCTTGGCTTCAATTTGGGTATTCCTCAAAAAGATTTATAAAATAACAACAGTGGGATTCCCTATTTGTCCTTCCTCTGTTTTTTTCTCTGCTTAAGGCTGACATGATTTTGCCCCATCAGACAAAAAATAGTTCACTAATAACTTTATCAGGGCATCAAAGAGAGTTTCATTAATAAATTTAGGTTTTATGCTTTTATGGAAAACAACATCAAAAATGAAACAGCCTCCAAATAACACAAAAGTTGCCTCAGCAACAGTACTCACCTCTTCCTAAATGTCTGCAGATCAGTGCCTGAGCCAGCATCATCTGCCCACACCTCAGCATGCATCCCCAGCCTGCATCCGACGAGGGACCAGTGCCTCCTGTGAATAGAGGGGCTCAAATCAGCACAGGCTCTGCACAGAGCCAGCTTCTGAGAGAACCAAAGAAAAACCCCTGAGAACTGAAACTCACAGTCAAACCTCTGACAACTGAAACCCACAGTCACAACTGAAAATCACAGTCAAACCTCTGACAACTGAAACTCACAGTCACAACTGAAACTCACAGTCACAACTGAAACTCACAGTCAAACCTCTGACAACTGAAACCCACAGTCACAACTGAAAATCACAGTCAAACCTCTGACAACTGAAACTCACAGTCACAACTGAAACTCACAGTCACAACTGAAACTCACAGTCAAACCTCTGACAACTGAAACTCACAGTCACAGCTGAAACTCACAGTCACAACTGAAACTCACAGTCAAACCTCTGACAACTGAAACCCACAGTCACAACTGAAAATCACAGTCAAACCTCTGACAACTGAAACTCACAGTCACAACTGAAACTCACAGTCAAACCTCTGACAACTGAAACTCACAGTCACAACTGAAACTCACAGTCAAACCTCTGACAACTGCCCCACAGCTGAGGGGGAGCCAGCCTGTCCCACTGAGCCAGCTCCTTTCTCCCCACAGTGCTGCTGTCACTTCACTGCTTCCCCACAAACACAAATACCTGATTATATGCAGGTACAAGCAAACACTGATTTTGATAGCTTTAATCTTTTGTTTGCATACACAGTTAAATTATGATCAAAATGTTCTAGTACGGTAAAAATAACTTTTCAGTCCCCAACATCATCACTAAGCCTGCTAATCCATAACCAGGCTGCTGGAATGCTGAATACTCACCAATAGGTGAAAACTTTCTTCTATATGTGAACCAGAGACGAGCACTTATATCCAACAATAACTTAGATTTGTCTGGAATAATTTTAAGAGGAAATAAATTATCAAAACGGACTTAAAACTGAAAAATTCAAATTATCCCTGTACAGTTACTATATAGAGTGCATGGAAGGCTCCTATAGCTTTTACATACAAGACCCTTACTACTTAAAACATTTTTTAGCAATTCAAACACAGAGAGCTTTTGCAGACTACTAATTAAAGTTAACTTATTAAAGATGAAATAATTATTAGCCAATGAAATTTTACAAGGTGCTTGGAATGACTATGCCCAGCCTGAATAAAACAACTCTGGAGAACTGTCCTCAGGAAGGAACTGGTAAAGCAGGTTAAGAAGTTCTACGTGCAAATCAACATGGAATTATACATTACCTCCAAACCCAACAGAAAGTAATTTTAAGAAAAGGTTAATAATGTTAAATTGAATTAAACCTCTCTTTTTTCTTGTTTGTTTAAACACATTTGCACTTACAGAATCCTCCAAAGGCTCTGAAGAATGCTTAAGAATCCTGTTTGCTGCATTTTCCCTTAGCTGTGGCTCAGGCTGGCTTTTCCAAAGGATTCTCCAGCTGATCAAGGCTGCATGCAGCACCCTGGGCTGTCCTGCACTGGGGCCACTGCCTTTGACATTCCACACAGGAGGATGGCCCTGTCTTCTCCCCAGGGAGCAAAACTCATTTCTGAAATCTTACTTTTATATAAACACATTACTCTGCTCTAACTTTTAGGTCATGTACTTATTTTCACTAAAATGCAGTATGTGCCATAGACTAATTTATTGTTGTTATTTGAAACAGCATTGCAGTTGCAAGTAACAGGCTGCAGACAGCATCCCTCATAGGAAAATGACATCAGTAATGCTGAGCATTTCCCAAAAGTTATTTATATGTCTATTTCTGAGGCCCTGATGTTGTGGAGTGACCAGGCTCATATCTGACAGCCTCTGCTATGAATGTGATCATTTTGCATGAATTATAGTGGAAGCACATTGGCCTTGGTTCTGGCTTCTGTACAGGAGGAATTCCACTGCTTACACCTGGTGTCTCACTGATGGAGAACAAACTTCCCTCATTTAGGGAACACAAGGAAATCAGGAGCTGTTGCTACATGTGAATCTATGAATATTCTACCGATGTTACAGAAAATTTCATTCTAAAGATACCTGTGTTTAGGTGGTGTTGCCTTCCTAAAATCCACACTGGCTCATCAGTTTCTGGAAATTCTTCTAAGTAGTCTGACAAAATAGTGATCTGGTTTTCATACCTAGATAAAACTGAACAGGAATACACAAAATTCAAACTCCATTTTATCCCCTTATTCTTTTATACCCAACTTGGAGCTCTCAAACTGAAATAGTTTGTAGTAAGTCTTTACAGTCTTTGGGGCTTCTGAGCAGTGCTGCCAGCTGCTTTTAATTTTCTCCCTTAAAAGCTGTTCTGACTGAAATAACCAAAGCCTTGGTTTTTATTTAGATCCTCAGTGAGTGCTGAGAGAACACCAGGAATAACACCTTTATAAGCAATCTCACTGAAGCCAGCGACAGAAGTTCAGGATGACTGCAGTGAGGATGAGATTTGATTCAAGATAATGAGGAAAGGAAAAAAAAATTAGGCACCACAGCTTGATCTGAAATGTAGAAAAAATACAAATCAGAGTGATTATGGCCTCATGCTTAATGGAAAGCATGTGAAAAGTTTTAGCAAGACTGGGCTTTACTTTCCCAACTGGAGATTTGAAACACTTCAGAAAAAAAAAAAAGATGCATTAATGTTATTATTCAACACCATATCTATTTAGTGAAAAATAACAAATGATAATTAATACTACCAAAAGAAGACAGTCCAACTATTTTCTAGCTCGTTAAAATGGTGCTTTTTGGAAGAGTGCAGCAACGCTTCAAGTGTAAAACTTAATGTAAAATCATATATATAAAGTAAGATTCCATTAAAAAGAATATACATTCCAGCGATCAGAAGGGAGCTGCACCACCCTCTGGCTGGAGCCTGGGGCCAGCAGTGCCGAGCCCCGACACTCAGCGTCCCCGCAGGCAGTGGCGAAACTCCGCGCCAGACTCCTCCAGGGCTGGCAGCTCAGCAGAACAACTCTCACCCCGTACTCTGCATTCTCCGTCAGAAAAGCCGTCGCTCACTGCACTTCCAGAGCAAATTACCTGGTTTTTACTGCAAAGACTTAAGACACTCTGGACCCCCGAAATCCAACCGGAGGCACTTGCACCCCCTTCGCGGCCGCCTCTCTCGGCCCCGCTGCCGTCCGACACCCCGGAGCACTGCAAAAGGCACCGCCGGGATTTCTTTTCCCTTGCCAGGGTCCCCTTCCCGTTCCCGGCGCTCTCCCACAGCGCTGCCCGCCGAGCGGCGGCGCCTCCCGGAGCGGGGCTGCCAGACCGGGCTCCGGCCCCTCCGCTGAGGCCGCCCCGCGCCCCGGCTGAGCCCACTCACGCCCGGGCCCCCTTCCGAGCCCCCAGCCCCGGCCCCGGGAGAGGCCGCGGGACCCAAGCACCAGGCGACCCCTCAGGGCGGATCGCACCGCGCCGGCCCCCGTCCCTCAGCCCGCGGGCGTCTCCCGCCGCCGGGAGCCCCGCTGGATCCCCAGAGCCCCAGCCTGGCCCCTCAGCGCCGCCCCGCCAGTCGTGCCCGAGCCCCGCGCCCCTCACCGGCCTCCATCCTCCCGCTGTCACCATCCTCCTCCCCTTCGCCCCGACACGGAGGCACAACACGGCCGCACCGCGGGGCGCCCTGGGAGCTGCAGTCCCGCCGCCAGTCGGGAGCGCACCGCCCCCGCGTCCACGGAACTACAAACCCCAGCAGCCCCCGCGGCCCGAGCGGCGAGAGGAGCAGGCGGGCAGGCGCGATTGGCTGGACTGGGCGCCGGCGCCCTCCTGATTGGCGGTTCGGGGGCTTGGCCCCGCCCCGCAGGCGGGGAGGCGCGGGGGCAGCATGGAGGGCGCGGTGTCGGACGTGGCCGTGTGTAACCTGGCGTTCACGGGGCGCCTCGAGGAGCTGCGGGCGCTGCTGCTCCGCGACCGGGCCCAGGCCACGCGGGCCGACCAGGTTAGACGGCTCCGGCCCCGGGCGGCCTGGGGGCGGCTCCTGCCGGCCGCTGCCCATCCTTGACCCGCTGACCGCTTCCCTCCCGCAGGATCACCGCACCGCGCTGCACTGGGCCTGCTCGGCGGGACACACGGACGTCGCGGAGCTCCTGCTCGGGCTCGGCGTGCCTGTCAACGACAAGGACGATGTGAGTCTGAGGGAGCCGCGGGGCGCTCCCGGGGCGCGGGTGCTGCCGGGCCCGCTGCTGTCACGGTTTCAGCCGTGGAGGGGCCTTGACAGCTCCTGGAGCTGCTCCCGGAGCCGCTTGCGCCGCTCCCTCCTCGCCCTCGCCCCCTCCTGCCGCCGGCCGAGGCCCCCAGCCGGTGTCTGGCACTTGGGCCGGTCTCGACTGCTCTGTGTCCCTGGGCAGGCAGGGTGAAGTATTCCGCATTTAGAAATGGGCGTGTGAAGGAGGTTTCAGACCTGCTTATTGTCCCGGAATTTTAGGAGAGCTGTATTTATGAAGGAAGCTGCAAAACCAGGGCCGTTTGGATAGTTCTTATGGTTTTCACATGACCTTTATCTCCGTGTGATCTCTCAAATATGTTGTGCCAAATCATGAGGCAGCCTGAAGACCTCTCACACTGGAGAAGGCATTAATAAAGCAGGTGCAGGTTCAGTGGTTTTGCAGCTGGAAAGGACATGGCCTGCTCCTGTTCTAGGGGAAGAGTTGAAATATTTGTAGCCATTACAAAGCATCCATAAAGAAGGAAATGTCTCCTCTGTTTAGAGAGTAGGATATAGAAAAAGTTGTTAACACTCTTTTCTACTACTGCTGTTTGTTCTTAAAAAGGCACTAGTGTCAATTCTACAGGGACAAAGTGTTCTGCAAAGATACCATGCATAACTGCATAGCAGAAGTGATTTCTGTCATTTAACTGGCAGCTTTTTCCAGGTACTGAATGCAGGCATGTAAGAAGACGTGAGCCTTGCATCTAGTGAAAATCAGTAATATTTTAGCTTTACACTGGTAGGAATATGAGCAGTGTGAGTAGTTCAGGTTTGGCTGGGTTATACATTATCACGTTTTTCTGCCTGAAACTCATGGTTTGAATAATGTGGATTTCTTCTTGCCTCTGTAGGCTGGTTGGACTCCCTTGCACATTGCTGCTTCAGCAGGCCGTGATGAAATTGTGAAAGCCCTCATTGCTAAGGGTGCTCATGTAAATGCTGTCAATCAGAATGGCTGCACACCCCTGCATTATGCAGCCTCCAAAAATAAGCAGGAGGTATGTTTACCTAAGCTACTGGAGCTGCTGGTGTTCTTGGAAGAAGGGTTTAGGTGTATTAAGCCCACATCCTCCTCCCCTGCTCCTTTCTCTTTCAACATGCTCAGATTGCAATCATGCTTTTGGAGAATGGAGCAGATCCAGATGCAACAGACCATTTTGAATCCACCCCGTTACACAGAGCAGCAGCCAAAGGAAACCTAAAAATGGTACAGATCCTCGTGCAGCACAATGCAACTTTGGATATACGGGACTCTGAAGGGAATACTCCTCTGTAAGTAACTTTTTATTTTTATTTTGCTTAATACAGAGTAACCTCTGTGAAATGCAACTCCATTGCTTCAATGTCTTTTTCTTTCTTTAATTTTTTTGTTGCTTCATAATACACTCTTGCTTCACATCCCTGTGCAATTAAAAATTATTTCAGAAAGTCATACTTAGTATTTTGCCATTGTGGTCTGTACATGCATACTTTAACTTGTGTTACTGCATCCACTTAGAGTTTACAACATGTTTTTTATTAATCTATAATACATTGGTTGTTGCTGCAGGGTAGAAAGTGAGCTAATGACATCAGAGTCAGAGGAAACTGGTCTTGCAGGCTGGTCTACTCTGTCCTGCCAAGCAAGAACTCATTTCAGAAGTTTTTCTTCACCTCTCTGAAGAAAATAAGTTGCAATTGAAGTACAATCAGACCAGTGTTTATTGATACCTTAGAGATCAATTTGAATCTGTAAGGGTTACAGCTGCTTTGAAGTTGGTGTCAAAACCACAGTGGAATCCAGATTGTGCTGTGAATAAAATCAAGCAGTAAATTTTAGCTGTACATAAACCCCACTATGGCCCTGGAATGCACAGAGTTCTTCCTAGGACACTGTGCTAAATGGAAAAAAGCATTTGCTGCATTTGCACTAACTCACTAATTTTTTAGCATCAGACAATTTATTTCTCACCTTCAATTTAATAGAGATTGCCATTTTCCATTCTCACCTTGGATTATGTTCTCTTTAGCTTTGCTGACTGCAGAGCCAAATCCTAACCCAAAGAACTGTCTTAACATTGCAAGGAGAGCAGCAGGAGGACTGTTCTTGAGTTGCTTAATGACAGCAGAGGGACTGGACAGCAAGCTTTGGAATCTGTCTAGGTAGCTGGCTGCTTGTGGGTTTGTTGTTCTCAGATGTATCTCCCCCCAACATTGACACTGTCATTTTGACATGGTGTAATTGTTGCTCTTTACTAGTTTGGACAGTTTAACAGTGGTTTGGGTTTCTTGTTCTCACTGCAGTCATTTAGCCTGCGATGAAGAGAGAGTGGAGGAGGCAAAGCTGCTGGTGTCTCATGGTGCAAGTATTCACATTGAGAATAAAGAAGAGCTGACCCCTCTGAAAGTGGCAAAGGGTGGCCTGGGAGCCATCCTTAAAAGAATGGTGGAAGGCTAGAGGGGGCTTCACTTGAGTCTGTCTCCTGTTGCACTTCTGCTTAGGATTGCAAACTTCATATTTTGATAGTTCATCTGGGATGTCATGTATGGTATCAGCATGGTAATGAAATATTTTTATTGAAGCTGTCCTTCAAGTTCAGTGCCAAAACAACTCTTTGTACTTATTGTTAATTAAATCGTTCACTGACTTTAAAGTATTTTTCAATATCTTGCAGTTTTCTTTCAGTTTACAGTGTGATGTGTATAAATGTGGTATTCCTTCTACTTCAGATCCCAGTTTAGAATTATTTCTTTCAAGAAACAGGACCAAAAATCTTTTAGCCATTTAAATGCAAATTTGTTTTCTTCTAGAGTCTTTGTTTTTTCTCTTAGCTTTTGTGATATGTGTATGGGGTTTTGTCTGTTTTGTGGGTACTGATTGTCTTTCTCCAGATGATTCTAAGCTACACTGT